GGTTTGTCTGCCAAAGGTGTGTATGGTAGGAAGTTTGTCCTCACTATGTTTGGTGGTGTAGATGTGGTGGAAACTTTAAGAGGTGGGCCTGGTGGAAGGTATCATGTCATGGAGGGCACCGCCCTTAGAAGAAATTAATGCTGCTGTCTAAAACCTAATGTGAAAATAAAATTATTGGAAGGTTACCCAACCCCAGGAATTGCACCCACATGAATATTTAATCTTTACTTGACTTCAAAATACACATCTTTTCCATCTCTGTTGTTGAGGTGGAAGAGTGAATGGATTAATTGATTAAAAATTCAAAATGAATTTGATTTCGTCTAAAACATTTACAGGGACTATTTTCACACCCTTTGAAGTAGTTACAGAGAAGGCAGTTTAAAAGCATCCTGACCTTAATATTAGGGTGGTAAGGAGAGCAGCTTTTTGAAAAATCACATTACTTAACCAGATAATTTGATAAGACTTGAGAGAGCTATATGCACGGATTGATAAATTATAGAGGGAAAATGTTTGAGAATAGGAATTACCTCCTAAAATACATTTATCCAGGAAAAGAAAGCAGTACTTTTGGAGATAAACTTGGCAAAAAGTTGGTAGAGACCTCAGATCTGCAATCGAGGGAGTAGTCAATATTTGATGGGATTTGCCAGAGTGAAACTTCCGTAATCTGGGACACTGGGAGCATAACTGATGCTCAAGGGAATGGCACTGCAGGACATGAAGGGGATACTTGGGTTCAGCCATGCCCAAGGACTTTGGATTTGGCCCCTGAGCCTTGTAAGGATGTGGAGAAGAGGAGTGAGGGAAAGAGCTAGAGCCGCTGCAGATGCTAAGATACCCCAAATTGAACCAGAGGAAGGGGTCTAGATCCCAGAGCTGGAGTGACATTGGGTTAAACCCTTAAATCATAACCTATTAGCTCTGTGTTCTTGGATAAATTTCTTAGTTAGTGTTTGTTCTTATTTTCTCATGAAGTTAGGAGTTAGCAAGCTTTTTTCCTTTTTTTTTTTTTTTTTTAATCTTTACAGTGCTGGAGATCAAGCCCAGGGCCTTGTGCATGCTAGGCAAGTGCTCTATCACTGAGGTACAAGCATAGTCCAGTAATTCTATAAATAGTCAAATGCTAAATATTTAAGGCTTTGCAGGAAATATGATCTTTGCTGCAACTGCTCAACTCAGTCTATCTAGTGCAAAAGCTGCCACATACTATGTAAATGAAGGAACATGGCTATGTTCTAATAAAACTTTGTTTACAAAGGCAGGTAATGAGCCATATTTTCTACAGGTTGCTGATAAAAGATAAAAGATAAAAGATAAAAATACCTAATTTGTGAAAGAGCTTTAGGTATATATTTACAGTAAATTCTTAGCACAGAGTCTACCTTTAATAACTGGCAACTATTATTATTTGGAAACTCTTCCCAGGATATTTGAGTTTTAGTAGGGACCAAGGAAATAAATCTCTAAGGAATTAATTTTGGATATCTGAAGAGGTCAGGACTGAGAGAACACAATAGAAATTTGTCCTTTTCTTTCTAGACATGAGTTGCATCAGTGCTAGAGTACTAGAAAATATTATGATATAATAAGAAGTTGTGAAACTAATAGAGCTGGGCTGCTTGGTCAAGTGCGCAGGCCAGCTGGGCACAGGAAGTGTATAAAGACCACAACGGTGTTCACTCTAATTTCTTCTAAGATAAAAAGAAAATGAATATAACAGTAGTAAATTTAATGAATTCAGCTTAGATTACATTCATATTTTTAAAATTCAATCTATTTATTTAAAAGCATATTGCATGTAAGTAACATTCTCATTTCTCCACAAGTAGAACTTTTCTGGAACATTTTGTCATGTCTCGTGAAGGTGCATTTCATCTAGAGTTGGTAAACTTTATATCAGTAAGAAGAGTTAGAGATATAAGTTTAGAAGGAGAAACAAAATCATTTTCTTGAAAAAAGGAGAGAAATAAGGAGATAGATAGGTCCCTATTGGAGAAAGGAGAAAGGCAGGGAGCCTGGAGCTGGTACTCAAGGATCTTTGTTCTTAGCCTCTTTTGTTACATGGCAAGAAAGGGACTCTCCCCATTGAGAGTCGATATAACTTGATGGGCTATTTTAGGCTCTGAGACCCCTGATTCAGCCACCATCCCTTGCCATTGCCTATGTGTTCATTCTTAGACAAACTTTCTTTGGTCTCTTTGTGTCATCAGGGTGATATCTGTGAGAATTACAGCAGAGCCACACATTCAAGGCCAAGTTAGCAACAAAGGATACATGTACATGTTAGTGTACTAATAAGGGAAGAGAATAATATATATTCATAAATGGGTACGTGAGTGTCCCGGTATGAGTATATGTTTTATATACTAAGTGAATTTTTTATAATATAGTACTGCTCCACACTTTGTCTTTTTTGTACATAACTGGAGGAGGAGAGGAGCAAATTTGGGCCATGGCTTCAAGGTCAGCCAGCTGCTTTTCAGTTCTCTCTGTTTCTCTGAATTGTTCTCTCTAGCAGGGGTTTAACTCTTCCCAGTCAGGATTTGTCAGAAACCTCACTAAGGCTCTTACCTTTCTTTCCCTTCCTGTCCCCAAACTTTCCCTACAATTTCTTCCTTGCTCCAGTTTTCTACAAGGAATGCAAAGTTATTGTCTGTGCTTTGAAGCTGACTAAACTGACAAGCATATGTTTGTTGTTCTTCCAGGCCAGGTGCAGGGTTAGGCCGGAGAAGTTGGGGGTACCTTAGGGAAGCAAGGTGCTGCTCATGGTCTCCACACACAGGAAGAGCGAGTTGCTCCACTGTGGCATGGAAGTGGACCCTGTCTTAAAATAAACAATAAAAAGGTAACCAGTCTGAGCCCCTTCTGTCAGAATGTACCTCCTCCAGCTGCCAAAGTTGGAGCCTTTACCTATTTTTTCTCATTTGTTAAGGGCTGACCTGATCTTTGTCAGCAATGCCATCTAAAGTCTTAACATTTTCTCTTACTTTCTAATTGAAGCTTTTTCCCGCACAGTCAGTCCTTGACTCATAAATGAGTTCTGTTCCAGGTCAACATTCTTAAATTGGATTCGTTCTAGTCTGACACATGAGTCTTCTATTCCTTTGACACAAATATACAACATAAAGCATAAAACACACACACAAAATACTGTAAATGAACTATTTTTACTTTTAAGCACAGTAAGCACACAGAAGCACAACTGTGACAATGTTCTGCAGACATGAGAGCTGCATCCACAATTTGGTTGCATCTATGAATGTTTGTAATTTGAAGTCCATTCCTATCTGTGAAACCTCACAACTCAAGGGTTCATAAGTCAGGAACTTACTGTAAATGAATAGATAAATAAATAAAAATAAGAAAGAATTGGAGACGTAATTCAGGGTGAAGACCCTGGTTTCGGTCCCCAGTATCACCCCCAAAAATAAATTCAACTGATGCATTATGTTAAGAAGAAGGGAAAATAACTTTGGGGTTTGTCCTTTTACTCTAAGGGTTTAATTTTATTTTGCCATTTCCACGAGACTTGAATGAGCTCTGTCTGCTCTTTCATCTTTTCATCTACATAAAATGTACATTAAAGTCTCAACTCTGAGGGCATTTCTGTGGACTTTGCCAATTACTGACTAGTTTAAGTCATTGACTCCCAATGTGTCTTAGGTTCCTGATCTTTAAGATGGGGTTGTAAAAACCTATTCTTCCAAGGGTCATTTTAAGACTTGAACAAGATCATAGTAAGTGCTTTCAAACTGTTGGTCTCAATCTAAAGTCTATCACTGATCTATGCTATCCCCAGAGTTTGCCCCAGAGTTTGTGTTGAAGAGGACTCATTCCCTGTATCTACTATATTAGTCACTCTCCTATTGCTGGGACAAAATACTTGACACTCAAAATTTAAAGGAGAGATTCGTTTTGGTTTACAGTTTCAGTGGGTTTAGTCCATGGCAGACCAGCCAGCCGCAAGGCAGAAAAGGCATGGTGGTAGAGCCTGACAGAAGAAGGCTGCTCACATCATGGCACCCAGGTAGCAGAGACAGAAGGGAGGACCTGGAGGTGAAAATATACCTTTCCAGGACATGCCACTCAAAGACCCATCCCTTCCAACCAGGCCCTACTTCTGAACATGAAGCTTTAGTTAACATTTTAGATCTAAACCATAACACTGCTCCTTAGAATGCTCAGCGGGCCACTTCTGGAAGTTTCTTCAACAATCATTTGTAATTCTTTTTCACTTGGGATCACATAAACATTGATGATTGCTTGAAAGTCATGCTGTCTGAGGTGAGCCAAGATTGTAGTAAAACAAAAACTTTTTATGGAAGTCAAATCTTACTACAATTCCTAATAGTTTGTGATGAATATCATGAGTTAGCTTGGACACAGTGCAGAACTTCCTGTCATTTGCTCTTTTCCTTCCCACTGGGGGATTTTAGAATGCAAATGATTCAGAAGCTGATTTGAGTATGATTTTGAATTCACTCCAGCCTATCATAAAATAGGAAGACAAATCATTCTAAAACTTCTAAGCTATTACTGTCATTAAGAATGTACTGCTCACGTCCCACTGTCCTGATCCATTCCTTCAAAATTCTGTCCCCAGGGCAGGCAGTCCTTCTTCATCAGTGGCATGCTCAGCTCTCTCTAGCATGATCTGATAGTCCTAAGGGAGACGGAGACAGTAACATCCTCTCTTGCCCCCTTACAAGACCTTGTCTAGGATGGAGCTGGGCTTTATGGGCTACCTCAGAGCATGGTCTTTTCAGCCAGAAATTTCTGGAAATAGGGTGGGATCATCTTCAGGCACCCCTTACAGGCAAGAGGGTTCTGATCTCAGTGTTTTCATGTGAGAGAGGTTCAGAAAGGCATCCCAGAGACTGCTCACATTGGAATGAGAAAGTTTCTCAGGATCTTCTCAGGACCTAAAGGAAATGATGAGTAATTGGTGGCAAGGGCAGGGACTCAGGCTAATTTACAGTTTTCTGTGTCTGCAGTGTCAGCAACCTCTGAAGCCTGGAAGGAGCTGGTTGGGGCTGTTGGTGGATCTGTGATCTTCTCTCTGAATTTCACAGTAAAGCAAGTTGACAGTATCGCCTGGCTCTTCAATGAAACCACTCTCGTCACTGTACAGCCAGCCACGGGAGACGAACAACCCACTTTTATAGCAGCACACAAACGTAACAAGCCCAGGGTACATTTCCAAGATGGAGGTTATTCTCTGACATTCAGCCAACTGAAGAAGACTGACTCAGGCATCTACTCTGTGATTATACACAGCTCAGATTCCCAGTCTCTCTTCCCTGTGAAGTATAGGCTGAACGTCTATGGTGAGCAGAATCGGTTCTCACAGTTCTATGTGAGCAGAATCAGCTCACATGGTGGATGGCTGCCATGGGGAGGTGATGAGCTCCCAGGCACACCAGATATTCAAGTATCTGGATAATTACTTGGCAATAATGTGGCAGAGAGGACTCTTGCATAAATGAAGTAGATGTAGCTGACCCCTGAGGACCCTGCCTACTCAGATTCTGCAGTAGACTGTAGTAAATGGGGAACACGGAAAGTGGCAGTCATACAGATCTAAGTCAAATGCTGGCTTCTGTACTTACCACATGCAGGCCTTAGCCAGGTTACTTAATTCCTTTGAGTCTTTGTTTCCTGTAATTGGGAGGAAGATGATAACTACCTTAGGAAGCTAATTGGGCATAAGCATCAATTCCAACCCTCCCCTTACAGATCTGATCAGTGTTATCACCATTGTTGTTATTGCTGTCTTGTTATATGGGCAAGGACACCTAAATAAGAGTGAAAATTCTGCTCTGAATTACTGCTTCCTTTTCACTCTGGCTTCCCAAGGAGATTCAGGTCCAAGTTTTCCCAGGATAATTCAAAGAATGGAGAACTATAGCATATTTTCCATCCCTGGCTATACTTTCTTTTTCACAGAACACCTGTCAAAGCCCAAAGTCACCATGGGACTACAGAGCAATAAGAATGGCACCTGCATAACCAATCTGACATGTTCCATGGAAGAGGGAGGAGAGGATGTGACTTATAGCTGGAAGGCCCTGGACCAGGCAGCCAATGAGTCTCATGATGGCTCCATCCTCCCCATCTCTTGGACTTTGGGGGGAAATGATGTGACCTTCATCTGCATGGCCAGGAACCCTATAAGCAGCAATTCCTCAAGCCCTATCTTTGCCCGGAAGCTCTGTGGAGGTGACTGTCCCCTCTTTCCAGGAGCTCTGGTCCAAGTAATTATACCTTCTGCAGCTCCTGAGTCCCAGGGGAACAGGCCCTGAGGCCTGGAAAATTACCATACTGGGAGAAAATTGGCTGGTGCTCCAAAAGTTGGGTCACTTTCCCTAATTGACTTTTCTTCCGTTCTCACATTTATGCCCACTCTTTCTTTAAAGGTGCTGCTGGTAACTCAGGATTCCCTCTGATCCTCTTATGTTTCCTGTTGGTGTCCATCCTGGTACCAGTGGCATTTCTTTTGATTAAGTGGACAAAGAGAGGAAAAGGTAGAGTTGGTGTGATTTTTTTTGTTCTCACCATCATTCGTGCATTTTCTCCCTCATTTATTCCACAAGCATGTGATGAGCTGTGTGTAAGGCTTGGCGCTGAGAATACAGGTGAAGAGGTCATCATCTTCCCCAAGAAGCACACAGATAGCCTACACTCCATAGTTCTGGAGTAGAAAGAGAGCTGGAGTCCTTGCCTTCTCTCCTGAGGACAAAATCTCTCTCTCCAGGGCCCACTTCTCTCCTTCTTTCAGAGGGAGCTGCTGATGGGGTCCCTCTGTTTACACAGGCTTCATACTGCTGGCTTTGTCCCCTCAACCTGAGAGATGATGGCCTCCAACTTTGATGCTTCCATGGACCAGTATCCTTCAATCACCCCTTTCTATGCTCATCCCTGTCAAGAGCCCACAAACAAGCCCCAGGCTTCTCCACTGGGTCAACTCTTGAGATCTCTCTTTTCTCTCCACCTCAGCACAAACACATTCTGCCTGGAAAAGCTGTTCTCTGCTTCCATGCTGCACATGATGCTCTGTCTCTAAGGCCCGCTGAGTTCCCTTCTCAGCCCCTCACTGACACTGTCCATCTGGAATGTGAGAGAGAGACTTGAATGCTGAAAACACTGAAAGCATTTATGACCTTCCCTGCTTCCCACTCTTGTCACCTTGGTTCTAAGGTGATATTTACCTAGAATTTTACCTAATTTACCTAGGATTTTAACACTAAAAGTCCCCTGCCCCAGAAAACCCTTCAGTTGCAGGGCACGTGGGGTGGCTGTGACCCTCAGTGGGCCATCCATGTGAGATGATAGGCTAGCAAGGGTGCTGAGTGATGGGACAGGCCGGCATTGAGTCTCTCTCTACTTGATTTCAGAGCCTGTTGAAAGCAAGAGTGGAATGGACGTCCACCAGGAAATTGCTCACTTCTGTCCATATTCTGCAGAAAACACAGAGTATGACACAATCCCCTACATTCATGTGAGTCCTTTCTCATCTTTCTTAGGACCTGATCCATCTCTCTGAGGCTCTCTTTGCTTTACCTGAGATTTTTCCATGGTTTGGGTAACATGGAAATGGGGAGGGAGATTCGACTACAGAACCATGAAAACCCAGTGAGCCCATGGTTTCCCCAAGTCTTTATGGATTCACTTCTGTGCAGAAGTTGGTGGCCTCTGAAACACCTGGTTGTGACCCAGCTAGTAACACTCATGGTGTGAACGTTACATGACTCACCCTTTCCCTTTCGGAGTTCACAGTGACCACTCAAAAGGCCCAGTCCTTTTTGCATAAAGGGGTGGGTGGAGAATTGTGACTTTGACACACTGTTTGAGTCATGGTGTCAGAAGACTGTTCTAGAGATGCCTCAGAGTGGTCAAGAGAAGGGCCAAAGGGCCTATGTTGCTCTGGACCTACTGTCAATGCTTTCTAAGTTCCCACTTTTCTGAGTTGAAGTGAATGAGCACAAACACAATTCAAACTGAAAAGAAAGTCATAAAATAATGTTTAAAGAAACCCAAATAACAAGAGACAACTTGGAGGCATGAAGTTAATAGACAACTTCGAAAAGTGCCCCAGGACTGGTCAGTATAGCCCAAGCAGGGGAGCTCTTTAGAGGACATGGAACCCTTTTCCACAGAGACCCATTTAATGAAGAAATTAAAAAACTTTAGAGCCACAAAACCCTAATTTGGCTTTAGCTTTTAGTGTCTCTTGATCAGAAGCACCTTCTACATTAACAACAATTACCTGCACTTACCCTCTTTGAAGAGGAAACACTACCTTTCCTCTTTGAGGGCATTAATATTCTAAGAGCTCCTTCCTTCATCTTAGGGGGACTGCTTTGTGTACCACTCAACTGGCTTAAGTCAAAATTCATCAGTTATCACCATTCTTTCTGTTCCTCTGTTCATGGCACGTTCTGGAGAGGCTGCGGGGCTGCTCTGGATGTTCAGGAGTAAGCTTTACCAACACAGGACATTTTTCTCTAGTGGGGAAGGAGCTTTTGTTATCACCTTGTTGCTTTGTTTGGTTTGTGAACATCAGGCATCCTTACTGGTTTGGTCCAAGGGCTGCTTGACTATTGGAAAAGTTTATTTGGAACATTATCACTATTATTTCAAATTATCCTGTAGCTCCCTTAGGAGCCTCATAACTCATGAGATTTACATCTTATATTTTAAAAAATTCATTTAAGCACAACACAGTGAAAATAATGCAATAAGCACAAAAAATAATAAATGTATGAATAAAAATAATTCCATGACTTCCTAAAACAATTTATTAATAATTATTATAATAGCAGTCACTGATGGGAGCACTTCCCACTACCGTCTCCGTTCTAGAACCATCTTTTCCTTCTCTCCATCTTCTTCCATTTTTGCTTTTCCCTCTCTGAATTTTGAGTGTCTCTCTGTTTTTGTCTGTGTGACTCAGAGGGCAGGCAATGATTTGTTTTGTTTATTGTTTGTTTTCTAATAGAAAAATAATCCAGCAGAAGATCCAGCAAATTCTCTTTATTCCATTGTACAGATACCGAAAAAGGTAAGTTTTAGAGCTGAGTCTCATCTTAATTGTCCTGTCCTTTTTACTGCTTGATGTTTAGGTTAAAACTTCTTGAGCCTCAGAAATCTCATATGGTCTGGCATTGTAAGGGACCCCATTTCCTTTGTTTAGAGTTATACACGAATATAGGGAATAGAAGACAATTGTAGGAATAATACAGTAGGAGAGAGGTTCTGGGTAGAAATAGCAGAGAAAATCAGATGGCTCCTGACCAAGGTCTTAGATCAAGAAAAAGGACATGGCTCGGGCTGTCCCTGGCAGGAGAAGGATATCCGGAGAGAGACTCCATTTGACTCCTGAGCTAGAGTGAGAGAAAGAGAGATTTCCACTTCTGTTCCTCGTTCTCACTATGTTAAATCTGATTTGCACACTCCCTATGGTCAAACTATTAATGTAGTAAGGTTTAAGGATTATTCTTTTACATTAAGATTTTCCTTTGTAGAAGCAATAGTACCTTTCTCTCTCCTTTCTCTTCCTCTTCAAAACAGAACAGAAAGGATGGGGATTTTTAAAAGCAGTTTTCTAGTAATAGAAAGTTATCTCTAATAAGTTATTACAAAGAAAATTTAGTTCATTAAGCATTCGAAAAGATAAAGATGGGTTAAACCTTAAAAAAAAAAAAACTTTGTTTCTTTAATCTGGGAATGATAAAGAGAAAGCCTGGTGGAGCTTCTGCTTGGATAACCTCGGATATAAATCTGGGATCCAGAATCTTTTTCAGAAGATCCAGAGCCCTGCTCACTTCTAGTGTTGTTTCCTCACCTCTGTCTACAGGTGGAGAATTCCCACTCACCACCCAGGATGCCAGACACACCGAGGCTGTCTAGCTATGAGAATATCATCTAAACAGCATAGTGTTCTCTCAAGTCTCAGGGGAACACAAAAGAATTTTTTGATGGGAAACTTGAGCCAATCTGGACTACATAGAGAAACCCTGTTCTGCTCAAGGGGATAATTTTATTGCTGCCATCACCTGTGAACATCAGACTCCAGCTTCGTCAGCCTCTCAATGCAAACTCACATCAGAAAATTTCCAGGGAGCTTCCAGGCTCTCAGTCTTGGACTGGCACTGCTTCCTTGATCTCCTTTGTTATGTGGCTTCCAGCTGTTTGGACTGAGCAGCTATTGGATCCTCTGGTTCTCCATCACGCACATGGGCATTGTGGACTCTCCTGCCTCTGAACTTGTAAACAAAGCTAATATATACTGTTTTTTCTTTTTTTTTTTTTTAGTCTCAATTTTATTAATTTCAATTCTGATTTTTATGATTTCCTTCTTGTATGAGTTTTGGATTTGAATTGTTCTTGTTTTTCTAGAACCTTGATGTGCACCATTGGATTATTTATTTAAGTTAGCCCTAACCCTTTTTGAAGTTGTCTACTTACTTCATGTCTCCAAGTTCTCTTCTGTTATTTGGGTTTCTTTAAACATTATTTTATGACTTTATTTTCAGTTTTCTTTGAATTACGTTTATGTTCATTCACATCAACTTGTGCTATGGAAGTTCTATTGGGGAAGTCTTTGCTTGTTCCTGTGGCTTCAATTGTTTCACCTATGTTTTCTTTTAGCAGTTTTATATCTTATTCATAGGTCTTGGATCCATTTTGAATTGATTTTAGTACAAGGAAAGAGATAGAGATCTAGTTTGTCTTTTACAAGTGAATGTTCAGCTTTCCCAGCACTATCTGCTAAAGAGGCTGTCTTTCCTCCAAAGTATATTTTTTGGCTCCTTCGTCCAGAATCAGATGGCTGTAGTGTCATAAGTTTGTTTCTATGTCCTCTATTCTGTTCTTTTGGTTTACATATCTATTTTTGTGGTAATGCCATATTGTTTTTGTTACTATAGTTTTGGAGTATAACTTGAAATGGGGTATTGTGATGCCTCCAGCTTTAGTCTTGTTGCTTAGGATTGCTTTGGCTATTCTGGATCTTTTCTGTTCATATGAATTTTAGGATTATTTGGGCTTTGCCTATAGCTCAGTGTAGAGCACTTGCCTACTATGTGCAAGGCCCTGGGTTCAATCTCTAGCACTGCCAAAAAATAAAATTACAACAAAGAATTCTAGGATTTTCCCCCCTAGTTCTTTTTTCTTTCTTTTTTTTTTTTTTTA